GGTTGGAGCTGTAGTCGCGCTCTTGACTGCTCGGACATATCAATGTTGATGGTTATTAACTCCTCCTCTTCGGGTACCCTAGTATTGGTCCCCAACACAACTGTGGCTCAGGGGCACCGGATGTGCAAAACGAAATTTTCTCTCCTCAACTGGCTGCAACCGGTCCGCGGTGTCATGTGGCCTAATTTCATCAAACCAGAGTGTCTTCTGGCAAACTACTCAAAACGGGGTGTCCGCCAGCAAACGACCATCACTTTGGATGTCTGCCAAACAATTTTCCCTATTAAATATAAGTAGTATAATTTCACCGTGATTCCCGCGGCAACGCGCGGGGCGTTCTTCTAGTTAGGATAGTAGTAGTGTTAATTAACATATTTTATTTTCATAACAAAATTAGTGTTATTCCATGTTTATTAGTGTATAATTAGATGTTATTATTTTTAAATAATATAATTAGTCAACTATTATCATCCCATCCACTCTCATCCATCTATTGTCTATATCACTTGACAGAATGGAAACTATCTCACAGTTTTTTGGTTTTGGATTGAGACCGGCCCTCAATCACAAAATAAGTGATAGTCAACCACTCCAAATATTGACCACTACATTTTATTATAAAAATTCTATAAAACATAGCAAATATATATATATATATATATATATTATTTTTATTTTTTTGAAACATTGAAACTCAACACATAAAAACTATTTTTCTGTCAATTCTTTTTGAAAGAATGATTTATGACGACACCAAATCATCACATATTTTGTGACTGATTGACTTAACACCAAAAACAAATAAATACTAATTGATTTAACACCAAAACATCACATTTGCGACCAAGAAGTACCAGGGATCAAAGTTATTGTAATTTTGCAAAAATGACTACACGAAGTTGTAGTTCCTTTATTATGATGTCATAAATAGTTGTAGTTTTGTGAAATTAACTCCACATAATATAGCTAACAGGATGGCAAGAACAGACCATTCCAGAACAGAAGCGATCCCTTCACATCAGATGCACAAGCAAGAAAAGATTAAAACAAACCTCCTCATACTCAATATTACCAGGGTGGCAAAAATAAATAAATATGCAAGACCTTCCCAGTTGCAACATGGAGAGCAAACTTGCAATCCTGGGTGCCAATTGAACCTCCTATGCGCAGCGGCCAAACTTCCAGTTACTTCTTTCTCCCGTAAAAGGGCTAGTATTTTCATGCTCAAAAAGGTGCTTCTCATCAACTTTTTACAAAGTCATTAGTTTGAGTTCATACATTAACTATCCTCATACTGGCAACACTTACAATAATCAAATCCCGTATGAAGATCACTTCCTTTTCCTTTAAGCCAAGGTACAGATTTGCCCGTCCAATTTGCATTTCTCACCTGAGTTCCGCAGTTTCCGTTGCAGCAAAGACTCGTCTCGACTGTTCACTCACAGATATCAAACTCCCAGTCATGTCTCAAAGATGCCCTTCACATATATCATCCCCTTCTCGCTGAACTTGAGCTCCTTCCTCATCTGCTCAACTTGGACGTCATCACCCTGCACAAGGATCTCGGATATGTTCCCATCATCAGATAGGATCATCTTGGCCTTGATCTCTTCCTTCCTTGACGCTTTTGTCCAGTAGTACACTCCCCTGGACCTCATGAAAGGTCAGTTACTACATTTGTACTGGAAGATTCATTCTGAATTGCTGGGAGTTGAGTAGCAGAGACATACGCCAAGGGGCTTAGGGTCATAAGCCAGAACCAGTTGTTGCCACCTTCTGGGATAGCGATTGATAGAACGAGCCCAACACTCCCAAGGCTAATGCAGGTGCAGAAGGTTAGCAGCGCCGCCTGGCCTCTGCTTGGTATCATTGTGCCCTCAAATCTGGTTCAGAAGCACAATATATCTCAGTTCAGGTTACAAGGTATTCCCATGTAGGAGAAAATTCTTGAGCTTGTGCTGGATTACATTACAGAAACACTGTGAACTGCAGTTTCACACTATGGAACACACTGGTGATGGGGCAAGCTGCTAAGCGGCTAAACTACTACTGTACTACTCATTTGCATACTCCTATTACGATGAAAACAAATTTGGGTGTTTGAAACACCAAGTTACTGTGTCCAACACTAAGATGGAGATTGATGCGAACTTAGAGTTAGCTTGGCAGTAGAATCAAGAAGCACACAACATAGCTAAAGCTATGCTAAGTAGAGTTTTGTTTCAAAAAGAGAAAAGCATAGCCAAACTACATATTGCTGCAGCAGGACACAAGCCAGCACGCAACTTACGTGATGACCTCCCCACGGTCTGAGACGGTGAAATTGTTGCGGGTGAAGAACGACAGGATCTCTCCAGCCACCTGCTTTGGCGCCATCGACTGCCCTTCTTCTTTGATAAATGTCTTTTGCACAATCTGCATCCACCAATTTGGCATACATGACAAACAGTGCTGCTGAATTTTGGTCCAGAACCAAAAAAAAAAAAAAAAGGTTCAAGATACCCACATAAACCTCTGAACTAGCAGGTATAGTTTACTCACTATGAAACTGTTTGTGATAAAACAACTTTGCCAATTGCCTTCAAGAGGAGAAATTTTAATTATGCAATGCAGTGCGGTCCCTATCGGACGTGGTGGTGGCATCTTGGACCATGCAAATCAAATAAGAAAAGAAGAAGGTATATCATCTTTTGCCGACACCACAAGTCCACTCCACTACCACTACCCACATAACAGAGCACTAGCAGTCACATCTCGAAAAGAAGGAAGAACGAAACCAGCATCAAAGCTAATCACAGAAGCTCAAACCCGTGAGTAAGCTCGCCGAGACACAAGATAAGCTCATCCAGGAGCCAGAATTACCCAATTCAGCAGGCACGGCATCTACTCGGCATTACTGTACGCTGAGAAGCAAGTGTGGCACGAGCACAGCGCACCCAGGCGTGCGTGCGCGCGTGCGGTGCGCGCCCTGCTCACAGGGCACTAGTGCGCGCGCGCACTACGGCGACACACGCGTGCTAGCTCGGAGCAGCGACGAGCGCGCGTGCGGGGGGCGAACAAAGATGGAGGGGCAAGCAACGGAAAAGAAGGATGGAACGGAAGAGGGGAGAGGGGCACAGGGATGGATCCGGGACCTTGGACTTGACGGAGCGCTTGATGAGGGACCACAGCCCCGGCACGGAGAGAACGAAGAGCCCCAGCGACGTGTAATAGCTCGCCTGCGAGTAACCTGTCCCGCCGGCGGCCGCGGCGTCGAGCAGGACCGCGGCGCTGTCCAGCGACGCGCGCGCCGGGGCGACACGGACTCGCCTCCTCGGCCAGGATCGCCGCCAGGGGCGCGCGGAGACCGCCGCGCCCCGCGGCGGCGCCGGCGGCAGGGCGCGGAGCGGGAGGAGGAGGCGCCTCGCAGCCGCGGCGTTGGTGGCGTCCATTTTGTGCTGGGGATAAGGGCCGCGGCCCGCGGGGGTGGGAAAGCGGGGAGGGCTGTGCGTTCATAAAGTTGGCGGGCCCGTGTGTAAGTGAGCTTTTGTCCTCGGGCTCTTGAGGAGGGGACTGAAAGACGTAGAAGAATAATTGCCTACAATATTTTTTAACAACATCGCACGGACCCTCTTCTCTGCACCACTACGCCAAAGAGCGAGAGGTGAACGACCAGTTTTAGAGCTGTTCCTGGCTATCTAGCTAAGTCAGAGCAGCTCAAATTTGGCTTCAGCAATGCAAGAGGCCTGTGTTTGTTTGTCTGTATTAGTGAAGCTTGGCTTCTGTATATGTGTTGGTTCACTGGTTGACTTAGATGGGATCACCTCTTTCTCGTGAAGGTGTACATTTTGCTCACCCCTTTGTGTTCTTCACCCCCTCATGTTCTTCATGCTACACGGCCTATGGAGACCAACTGTCCCGCGAGGCCAGGGTATGGAGGCGTGAGCGCAGGGCAAGGGGATATGGAGGCGACCTTGCCGGGGCAAAGGCAACATGGAGGGTGGCGGGCTGCGGTTGGAAGCGAGCGGGCTGAGGGCATGGAGGCGTGAGTGCAAGCTGGGGTGGAGGCGACTTCGCCGGGTCGGAAGGAGAGGTGGAGGGCGGTGACCGGCGGTTGGAAGCGAGGTGGATGACGAATCTATGGCGTGACTGGCGGGGCGAAGTCTGATGGTGTGCGTGGGCCATGGGCATGGAGGTGTGAGCGTGGGCTGGGCCTGCAGACAAAGGCGGGAGCACGACGAGGTGCAGGGTGGAGCCCAGGGCGGTGTCCAACATTGCACAGGCGAGGTGCAGGGTGCAGCCTGGGGCATACGAGGCGGCGTCGCTCCGCCATGCGACCCACACGCTCCTCGGCAGGACTGGTAGGCAGGCCACCATCGCATCCATCGCCGGCGAGGTGACTTGACTCCACTACCTGTCGGCTTAGCCAACCCTGGCTCTGGGAAAACAATCTATCATAGTGTTTCCGCAAAGTCTGGCTAAACGGTCTATCCTTGTGTTTCCGTGGGGCTTGGCTAAGGGGCTAAACGGTCCATCCTTGTGTTTTCGCGGGCTTGACTAAGGGGCCGTTGTCGCATTAGCTAAGCCTGGCCTCAAGGTCCGATCAGGCAAACAAACAAGACTAGGCTGCATCCAACAAGCCTGGTTGGAGTCTAAGCCACCCAACCAAACAGACAACTTGTACAATGATGGGTGGGTGGTGTGTGTGTGATAGAAAACTCATCTGCACTGTCCAATGCTAACTCGAAAGCTTCAGTGCTTTCCTATTTCTATTAATAAACGCTACACGAATCTCACAACTCCCATACTTTCATCATATACACTCGCACAGTATTACGATTTGACACCACAAAACTTATGACAAAGGCACATTAGATTAACTGTTATAATAAGTAGATAAATAGTGCTATTGAGCCATCTATCCGGCAGGTGTGCAGAGTTTAGTCTCTTTTAACAAGTCAACAAAACGTCAAAACATTACATTCGTGCACATAGGGGCTTTATTCATGTTCCTCCACCGTTTATCTGTATGTGCACTTGCTGCACGGCTCGATAATCTTCAGGTTCACAGATGGGGGCACTCTCTCCTCAATGTATCTCTCAATGGCAACACGAGCCTTTCCAGCCTCTACAAGTGCCTCCTCATTGAGTGGCCAGCACCTATCAATGTTGGCAAACCTCTTGTCATGGCCACGGGTAGTGTCTAACGTAAGGCAGTCTAGTGACCTTGCTTTCTGCATAATGTGGATGGTGAGCTCGACCATGCTCTTTGCGGAGCAAAACCCTGTTATCATCACATTCTTGAGGTTGTCATGGTAGCATTCTGAGAGGCATTGTAGTTGCGAGGAATCACCATCAGGATCTTCGAGAATCGAATCGTGCCTAATGGTTGGCAGCCAAATCTGCACAGGAATAATAAAGTCAGTGTCTCTTCCATGATAACTAGAAGGTTCAGTTAGACTGGATACACCGATCTTCGCCACAAACATGTAATTCACTTGTAACAACCGTGGCTAAGGAAATATCCAGCAACAAGTAAAATCCAGTTCCCAATCAGCAAGTAGTACATGGTTTCCACTTTTTCAAATGCCTTGTGCTAGAAAGCTGAACCCGACCAGGCAATCAAGAATTTGCCAAAGGAAATCAGGAAAGGACTCAACACACTCATCGTTATAGTAGCATGGGAAATCTGGAAGCACTGGAATGAATGTGATTTTAATAAGACAATGCCAAATGTCTAGACAATCTTACATGCAGTTGCAGATGAGTGTGTCCTCTGGTTCTCGGCCGAAGAGAAAGATCTCCAGGAGCTTAATGTGGTTATGTGATTTTTAGTTCTGGAGTTTCTGGTCTCCTGTTCCGTTTTTTTTCCCTCTCTTGATTGAGACTGTCTTTCTTTAAGTTTTTCCTTTTGTGTGTTTGGGTGTATTTCTGTAAGCATGTGTCTGGGTGTGTCTTTGGGTGGGCGAGAGTTTTCTCTCCACTCTTGTGTTTCTCTCCTCTCTTATTAATGAAATCATATGTAGATCTTCTGTACATTTGAGAAATAGAAAAATCTGAACCATCAGGTTTCTCAATCTGAGCCAGCTAAGTTCAGAAAACAGGAACAAGGCCGGTTCACATCTTGCCAATTGTTTAGTTAGGTGAAGGATATTGTTGTTGTTATCATATAAATACATTTTAAAAGTATATATTACCACGGATAATTGCTAATTCGGTTTTCATCATGGGCAGCTTTTCAGAGGTAAATGAAGACTTACACGTATGATCAACGTCTCCAAGGTGGGAGATGCATCAAGAAAAGATAACAGGGAGCTAAAGTCATAGTCCGGAGAAAAATTTGTAGCACACAATGTAATCTCCAAGTACTTCAGCTGGAGGAATTTGCCTAACGTCATTGGTGTATTGATAGTCTGAAGACAGAGATGCCCAAAGGTTAGTCATGAGCAAAATATGATTTATTGAGTACTGCAAACATACAACTATTCTATGGCACTTTGCTTTCATAAAAAATGGATTAATTAGCAAGCATAAAACTGACCTCATCACTGGTTGACAGAAATAGAGTTTGGAGATTTGGCGCAATGAATGGAAGTTTGGTAATAGCATAAGAAAGTGCGTTTGATGAATAGTGACAGGAAAATCTTATTTCCTTCACTTGAAATGCATGTCCAAGTGAGATATGTATTTGGCGTCCTGTACAGGAGAAAGTTGAGAGATTTGGGGCATTGCTGTCAATCATCTCCAGCATTTGGCAGTCCAGCACGCTCAGGATATTAAGCTTTTGCAGCTGACAAGGTATCTTCAAGCAAATTATAGTATTGCAGTTTGAAAGGGAAATTTTCTCCAAAGCACAAGAATTGGACAGAAAATGTAATAGTTGCTCGCCACTGATGTCGACTGAATACAAAACTAAATTTGTCAGGCTACTCATGCAACCAACTTGTGCCGTGGAGTGAATAGAACACCCAGAAAGCATCAAAGACTGAATGGAGCTTCCCCTCTCACTAGATAAAAGAGAACATGGAAAACTGTACTTGATGTCACCGATTTCAAACAATGATAGTTCAAACTCTTTAATCCCAGGTGCCATGGCAACTTGAATCCAGTGATCAAGATAACTGGGATCTATAGTGGAACAAGGGTAGCTTTGTAGTCTAAATTCCTTCACTCCCATGCCAGAGTGATTCTGCATAATGTGCTCAACTCTAGTGATAAAATCCATTGTTAATTCATCATACCGAGATCCATATTCATTTATGCATAGTGAATCAACAGAAATGATGAGATTGGGATAGCATCTCCAAGCACGAGAAAGCATGAGACACACAGGCAGCCTGAGCAGCATCTCGCATCGGCATAAGGGCGTGTATCCGATGAAGAATGTCCTGCACAAGGATGAGATAAATAATAAACACCGCAAAAATAGATGTAGTAATAATGTTTTCTTTGTTGAAGTGGAAAGCACGTGGAAATTCCTATCCAAATATGTAGTCATATTTACTTTTCTTGTTAACATTTATACTGTTTTTTTAACTGCCCATAACCTCAGGCATCCCCATCTTTTAATGATGAAATCATACCCCATAACCCACTTGAGGAGGGTCACAATCACACCTTGGATACAAAGACCCTTCAACTCGCAAAGGAACTCCAGACTTGATGGCGTTAAGCTGGATATCAGATGGAATGATGGACCAACAAATTCCTATAATCCAAATTTTACCTAGCGCTAGCAGTGAACAGTGACATTTTTGTTTCCCACACTTGAAATTACATAGACTATCACTATAACGATCCCATCCCATACCTCTGGAAGCTGGACTTGCGATCCAACTATTTCGCCGCAGTGAGAATCAGGCTTTATTTCAGCAGCCGAACAGGACGACCCCTCACCTGGAAATCAGATTGGTCATAAACTCGTGATACAGAAGGGGAACTGGCATGAAGTGGCAGCTGGCCAGCTGCACAAGCCACGTAGGTTCGATAATCAAACTATTGCTTAACAATAAACTGTAAGGAACTACTCCCTCCATCCCAAATTGTAAGCTTGCCATCTAGACATACACATCCAGATGTATGGGAAAAATTATGTATATATTTAGAACGGGGGTAGTAGGATTTAAGGGTTTGATAACCACAACGGTCACAGGGGAGGAAATACAGATCTATGCACATAATTTCAGCGATCTTCGTCGTACAAACCAAGAAACTGGGACGAACAGGAGGCATACCAGTTATCGCATCTTGGCTGCGCACCTCCATCTGCTCAGGTTTCCCCATGGCCGCCATCCCCAGATCTAATCCAAAGCCACTGATGCTCCCTTGCTCTCGCCGATTTATATGTATTGAAAAGCGCAAAAGTACAACGGCGGCGCCGCGGCGGCCGGCGGCGATGGTGCTGCGACCTTCGAGCAGAGGACGGGAGTCTGGTAGCGATTTTGCCGATTTCGGCGGAGAGAATCGTTGTGACCGGAGAAGTGGAAAAAAAAATGCAATTCTACGCGTATTATTGGTTAACGTGTCTAGATAAAATATTAATATTTTAAGCGGTATAAATATGGATAATCTTTTTATTTAATGTTATAAATATTGATAATCTTTTTATTTATAGTTTAACTTATATTTAACGTGGTACTATACTAGATTGTTTTGAACGCAGGAAGTATATTTATTTTGAGAAAGTTGTAAAAAGGTTATCTATAACTTTAGAATTTATAGTAACATCTGTATTCCTTTTAAGCCTGCAACTTGTTTTCTTTTTACTCACTCTCTGTCTATAATATAGTGTATTCTGGGAATTTTTAAATAAATTAAAAGAGAACATAAAAGACGCATGTATCCTTAATTTATTTCCTAAGCGTATGATATCATCAACGGAATTAATGGTTATTGGTTGACAAATGAAAAATATTAATGTAAAATTGGTTTTATCCTTTAGAATGCATTATATTGAGATAATTTTTGAATGCCGGGATGCATTGTATTATAGGACGATGGAGTGCCTTATAGGTGTTTTGCTACACATAAAGCGTGTCAAATCTAGCCCTTTAAAAACTAATATTTTATTAAAAATAATTCATCACTAACTAGATTTGCAAGAAGTCAACCTTTGAGTTATTTCACACGACACGACACGGTTGAACACCCAAGTCACGCGACTCCTGCAATAATGGTGGCTCCGCCTGCGATGCACTACCAACATGGAGATAACATGGAGCCAGTCACGCTGAATGGAATGGTGTGATAGCCACCTGATTCACGCCAAGCACTTTGGGGTGACTTGTCTGGTTAAAACTGTCGCGTGGCCACCCTAAAAGCCCTAGTTTGTTTTTGTTTAATTGATGAAACCTAGAACTAACCTTTGATCTAAGTGTGTGAATTAGATAACGTGATCTAACCCAAGTGGTGAAGCTAGGTGATGGCCTTGGTGAAGGTGATGGCCACAAAAGAGATGATCAAGTGCTTCACATTTGGAAAAGAAGAAAGAGAAAAACAAAAATGAGCTCAAGGCAAAGGTATAATGATAGGAGCTATTTTTTGTTTGCACTCAAGACACCATAGAGGGTGTGAGTGATTTAGGATTGATGGTCGTACTATAAAGAGGAGAAATCTTTGGCTAAGCGTTTATCGAGTGCCACTAGGTGACATAATTCATGCATTGCATTTAGGGACCTAGTGTGCTAACTTCTAACCCTTGTAAAATGCTTTGAAAAATGCTAACACACGTGCATACAAGTTATACACTTTGTGGTTAGTGTTAGAGTAAGGGCGAAGTGGTTGTTGACTTAGAAAAAGAAAAGGAGAAAGTCCTCGATCGGACATCGGCATGAGGTGAACGGACTCACCCCGGGCGCATCCGGTCAGATAGTGCAGAGAAGGAGGTGCTTGGTGGTCGATCGGACGCTGGCGCGCCTGAATGCGCAGGGAACACTATTCCCACGTCCGGTCAGTACTCAGTGGCACACGCGCGGTTTAGCTGGAGTGATCGGACTCACCGGCGCGTCTGGTCACCTAAGACCTGACGCGTCTAGTCATCATTTTTGCACTCTGTGGAACCTTACTGGAACGGATCGGACGTCACGGTGTGGTGAGTCCGGTCACTTGTGTAGTGAGTCTGGTCATGACTTAACGTGTCACGCGACAGTGACTTGACCGTTGGAGATGAACGGGCATGGTTTGAACGAGGACACATGGGCGCCCGAGGGCAACCGGACGCTGGGGTGCATCCGGTCAGTGCGTCCGGTTAGCCCACGAGCAGAGCAACGACTCTATTTCCAGGGGGCATCTATAAATAGTGTTTGGCTGGCTTGGGGCTCACTCTCTTGGCACTTTAACATACTTGACATCCTTGTGAGCCTAAGCAAACACCTCCCACTCATCTCCATCATTGATTCATCATCATAGTGAGATCGAGAGTGATTCCAAGTGCATTTGCTTGAGTGATTGTATTTAGTGGCACTTGAGTATCGTTGTGGTCATGCGATTTCTTGTTTCTCTTAGTGGTTGCCGCCACCTAGATGGCTTGGAGCAGCGGAGGAGCTTCGGCACATGTTGGTGATTGTTCATGGCCGGCTTTGGTGATTGTGAGGGGTGTTGCACCTTTCTCGGTGAAGAGCCGCAAGGTAGCTCTAGCAAATTGCTCGTTTCATTGAGTTACCTCACTTGTGGGTAGGTTCTTGTGGCGCCTCTTATGGTGGGCTAGGTGTGTGATACCTATTAGCCACTGAACCACCAAGTGTTGGTCGACACAACGGGGACTAGTGTGCCAGCAAGCACATGAACCCCAGGAGAAAATTAGTGTGTGACTTATCTCTTGGACTTCTCCCGGTGATTGATTGGTATTCATCTTGTGATTAGTTCATCCCTCGACGCGGCGGTATAATCACCCTACTCTTTTCTTTACTTTCTCGCAAACTAGTTGTCAAGCTCTTTAGTATAGTTAGTCTTTGAGAGCTTGTTAGTTTGGTTAGTATGGCTCTTTAGTTAGCCCATGAGAGCATACTAGCTTAGTGAGTAGTGACTTAGCTATTGTGTATGCTAGTGATCATAGCAACTAGAATTATTGGGTGAGGTGGCATACAACCCTTGTAGAGCTAGAGCAAAATTGCATTGCGCCTTTTGTCATACTAATCAATTTGGTTTAGTGCATTTATAGAATTTTAAATAGGCTATTCACCCTATTCTAGCCATATTAGGACCTTTCAAGTGGTATCAGAGCTGTGGTCACCTTTTAATTGAAGGCTTAACAACCTCGGTGTCAAATTATGGCTCAAGTTGTGTTCAATCATGTGGGGGGCAAACCACCGTTCTTTGATGGTACAAGCTATGATTATTGGAAGAGAAAGATGAAGATGTATCTTGGTTCAATCAATGATTAAGTGTGGGATGTGGCTGAGAATGATTATGCTATTATTGATCCCAACAATCTCACCAACCAAGAAAAGGCAAATAAGCAATGCAATACAATGGCTCTCAACACCATCTACAATGCCATTGATTCAAAGGTGTTTGAGCAAATCAAGGATCTTGATAGAGTTAGTAAGGTGCGAAAGAGATTGGAGGAGACTATGAGGGCACACTTGGCGGTGAAGGGGTGCCAAGCTATACATCCTCAAAGATAAGTTGACAAGCTTCAAGATGAAGGATGATGAGAGCATTCCAGAGATGTTCCATTGTTTGCAAGTAATTGTCAATGACTTGAAGGTTTTGGGTGAGAAGATCAATAATGATGATGTGTCTCATCAGTTCTTGATGTGCTTACATCCAAGATTTGAGATGTTGAGAATGCTTATCATAAGAGGAGGATTGAAGCAACTAACCCCTAACCAAGTACTAGGTGATGTCATGACACAAGAGACATACTGTGTGAAAAGGGAATGGGTTGATCAAGATGAGAAGAAGGATGAAGACAAGAAGAAGAAGAGTGTAGCATTCAAGGCTAGCTCATCATCCAAGAATAAGGACAAGTCTAAGAAAGAAAAATCAAGTGGTGATGAAGATGCTAGTGACATTGATGATGAAGCCATAACCCTCTTTGTGTGCAAGTTTGGAAGATTCATGAAGAAGAAGAGCTATGGTGCAAGAAAGAGGAGAGACAACAACAAGAGCAAAGAATATGTGAGAAGATGCTACAAATGCAAGAGCCCAGATCATGTTGTATCGGATTGTCCCTACAATAGTGACAATGATGAGGATGAGAAGAAAAAGCAGAAGAAGAAGAAGAAGAAGGAGAAGGAGAAAAAGATGACCTTCCAAAAGAAGAAGGGTAGTGGCTATGTGGTGACATGGGATAGTGATGCTTCTTCAAAGGATGATGACTCAAGTGATGATGACAAGAAATCCAATAAGAAAGCACTTGCAAGCATAGCCATCAATAACAAGCCTTTCATCTTTGATACTTCATCAACTTGCCTTATGGCAAAGCCCACCAAGGTAAAATATGATGAAAGTGATGAAGATGCTTGTGAAAGTGATGATTGTAGGAGTGATGACGACGACGACGATGATGATGACTCTAAGGAGGCTCTTATGGACATGTTGGAGAATACCCACACATGTCTTGAGATGAAGAGAAAGAAGTGCAAAGAATTGCGGAAAGAGCTTAAAGCTCTCAAGCAATTCTTTGATAAGCTCAATGCTTCTCATGAGAGTCTAAGGGAAGACCATGAGGAGCTTGGCAATGCTCACACTAAGCTTGAAAGAACTCACTCCTCTCTCCTCGAGCAAGTTAAGAAGGAGGAAGCCAATAAAGAGCAAGTGATTGTGTCTTGTGATGTGGGACTAACATGTGATATTATTGATGAATGTTTTATATAAATCTATTGTTGTTGCTCCCACTAACCCTTCTTGTAGCACTACCACTTCTATTTCACCTTTGAGTGATGGTTTCACTTGTGATGCCTCACTAATGGTGGAAAATAAGACCCTTAAGAAGGAAGTGAATGATCTCACTCGTGCCTTAGGCAATGCCTATAGTGGAGATGCCTGCTTGCTAAACTGATTGGGTAGCCAAAGGGTTTCTCTCAACAAAGAGGGATTAGATTATACCCCCAAGAAAGGCAAGGTAGCCTTTATCACTCCCAAAGCTAGCTTTGTGAAGGGCAATGGTCAATTTTGCAATAGACGCAAGCAAGTTGGGCATATAGAGCAATATTGCAAGACTAACAAGAACAAGTAACCTAATATATCCTCAATTAGATTTAATTCTTGTTACATGCTTGTTAAGGGTACCAATGGTGTGAAGGCTAAGTTCATTAGTACACCAATTGTGGGCCTAAAGAAAAAGACCA